GAGTGAGTGTGTGTGTGTGTGTGAGTGTGGGTGTGTGTGTGTGTGTGTGAGAGAATGTGTGTGAGTGTGAGTGTGTGTGTTGAAGTATGTTTCCTCTGCGTATCAAACTGATGTTGAGTGTGTGTCTGACCTTTCATGTAAATCTGCCAGGTGTTTGATCTCCATCTTCAGTGTCTTGAGCGTCTCCTGGTTCTCCTTCTTCTCCTGCTGGTCTTTCCTCACCTCCTCCTCTAGTTTCTGCTGGAACATGCTGAGCTCGGTGCTGGCGATCTGAACACAAGCACAGTCATGCATCTGAGCCGCAGAACCACACAAACGCTGCAGAACATGCCCACGGCTGATTCTCTACCTGCATCCTCAGAGTGGTCTTCTGGGTTTCCTCCTGAAGCGCTGCGATCTCCTCGGCCCTCCTCTGCTGCACAGCTTCATCATCCTCCTTCATCTGCTGGATCTCCTTCAACAGCTGCAGACTCTGCTTCTCTTTCTGAAGCATGTCGCCCTGGAAGAAACACGGACGTTACGATACCGATACTGCGCTCCTGTACTCGTAAAAATGCCCCGATACCACACAGTGTGTGAACAGTGCCGTGTCCAGACAAAGAATCACCGACAACAGAACAACAGAGAACAGAATAGATGTCTATGAAGTACATGAGATTATACAAGTCACAGCACGTTTCAGATGATAAAAAACACGGAGATATATATATATATAATATATATATGTTATAGATCAGTGTAAAAAAAAAAACACGACTTAAGTTTCAGAAAATATGTTTATCACAGTTACAAGATTTATAGGCAATAGGATAACGAGTGGTTCCTTACATTATTACAGGAAAGCGTCTTTACAGTACTGAGATGTGCTAATAAATTACAGATGAAATACCATAGAGCAAAAAAATGAACAGTGTGTAAAGCTTGTAAAATATATTTTAATGGGCATAATAAAGTGCGAAAATAACTGAAGGAAATATCTATTTGCTAAATGAATGAACCCAACTAATATTATACATATTCTTCTGGTTTAAATTCCATATGCAATGCACATGCAGGTATCGGTACTTAGTTGGTATCGGCAAGCACCAAAAATAAAAGTATCAGTATCGGCCAGTTCTGGAAAAAGTGGTCTCGGTGCATCCCTAGTTCTGGTTCTAGCGGATAATACATGTAACAGACATTCACTCACGTTGTTGCTCTCGAAGGACACGTATGGCTCTGTGTTAATGGAGACATCTGTATGCTCTGCCAAATCCTGTAAGACAGAGTCAGGGGTCAGAGACGGCACTCATCCTGACGACATTCCCGTCATCCGTCCCATCTTACCTGCTCACACACGGCTGTGTGTTTGTCCTCGCTCTGCTCAGACGCCGGCGCTCGCTCCAGCACATCTGCTGCCAGATACTCGTAGTCTGAGACGGGACACTCGAAGGCATACGGGTCGGGGAGGAGCAGGAACGGATCCGAGGACGCAGACTCCTCTGGATCATCATCAGGAAGGCTGAGGTGTGACGCAGTGTCGCTCAGAGCGTCTGCGTGAGGCCAGAACTCTTCAGCCGAGGGGTTGAGGTGTGACGGAGGCAGGGAGTCTGTCAGACACACGGCGTGCTTCATCAGCCCGATCAGCTCGTCCATCATGACGAAGCGCAGAGACTCCAGCAGGAAGGACTCGAGTCCTCCAGCATCTGCGATCTTCTGCTGCGCCTCCGGAGGAAAGTTCTCCAGCTCGCCCACCATCAGCGGGTCCGAGGCGCACCGCGGCCCGTGCTCCTCCAGGATCTGAGCGAAATAACTGACACACACGATCACTCACTTTTTACACTGATCTTAAACGATTTTAAACTCCACTTCCATTGTGAACCCTTTATACTGGATCAAGGCCCGTTCACAGCAAACAATAAATAACTACATTTTTAATAATTGTTCTAACTCTATGAGAATAATAACGATAGGGCTGTCAAAAAAAATTCGAATTTCGAATATTTTCTACGAATTTAAAATAAAAAACCACATTCGGTGTGCGTTTTAGGTGTGCGTCAGGCAGCTTTATCAGTGGCACACGATGAAGGTGTCGTTGCATTTTAATGCTTTTTTTAGCCTATGCAGTTGAACCCACTGCTGCGTTGTTCATTCAAAATATTGTGGAAAAAGAACATCAATGCATAGGAAATGTTGTTTACGTCAAAACTGAAGCCAAGCCGTTCACACAGAACGCATATTTATCACATTTTCTAGAGGGACATCTATCAGCGTTGCACTCGCGTCTCGCACAAGAGAGCCGCATGTTTAGAAAGCCATGTAAAATTAATGCAAGTTTAACTTTTAAAAAACATGTCTCGAGACTTCATGGCGGTTTTCCCCATCCCACTGCATCTCATGTTTTTAAATAAAAAAAAGCACTCTTTGTGATTGGTTTTCGGTCCATTGTATTAAACTATACATTCATACATAATGCTGTTTTGTTTCTAATTGTTTAAGAAACGAAAATTATATATGGTTTACAAACATTATGCACTTTTTTCAAAGATAGTTGTTTTATTTTATTGCTTTGAAGAAATGCTCTTTAGTAATATTTTGCTAGATGCACCCTCTTGTGGCCTCAGGAGAGAAGCCAAAAGCTTTTTTCCCCCCTAACTGAAATGATGTCTTAAATACGAATTTAGTTTTTCAGCCATTTTGACAGCCCTAAATAACGATAATAACACAAAAGAACAATACCGTTGCAATCTCTTTCGGCGTGATTTTTTCCAGTTAATAAATGATAAAAGCATCCAATGACAGCCCATCAGAATCCATCCTGCTTTAAAGAGCTCGAGCATTGAAAGCGACAGACAACAAATCTGCAGTGCAACTATCAAGGTGTCGTCACATTAGTGAAACTTCTACAGTCCATTGTCTTGTCGAGCGTGTAGCGATATGAAGAACTGCTCACACAGAAGTCACTTTAAAAATCAAGCAGGGTTTCTGCTGATCAGCCAGTGAATTTGCATGACCAGTGTGAACAGGAGCAAAATCTGCATGAACTTCATCAATCCCAACTTCACAGACTCCGACAGAGATAAATGGACTTCACCCGCAACAATCGTGTGTTGCTGTGGATGCTAATATTATAGATTTTTATTATACTTTTCATTGTCCATTGGTATGGATGCTAATATAGTTATCATAGTTTTTGTTATCATTGCTGTTATAGTTTTTAATAATATAGTTGTGGTTACAGTTATTGTTATATTTATAGTTCTTGGTGTGAACAGGTCTTTACCAGTGTTGGGGAAAGTTACTTTGTTAAAAGTAATGCATTACAATATTACGTTATTAATTACGTTACTTTTTATGGAAAGTAATGTATTACATTACTTTTTTTCCCCTCACCTGGGCTAGGCTTGCTTGTTTGTTTATAAAATATAAAAAGTTCTGTTTTTGGTAGATGTAAAAGCTCTTATACACTAACAGTGAAATGAATGAGCCTGCAGGCTGACGGAAATGTTGATTCACATCTGTACAGTAGAGGGCGCCGCTCAAACAAACAAACAAAAACGTTATGTTTATCTAAAGTCATTTTTGCTCAGTTTTGTTGAATCGGATCATTGAAGGTCAGCAGGTTTATAAAATGGGATTAAATACATAAAGGGTATTTGTATTTAACATTTAATTACAGGTTTGCGTCATATTCTGAGTTTTTATTCATTGAGGAATACTGAATCTGTTTTTGTGTACTATAGTAAGATCATGTTCACACACAACGTCTCTGCAGTTACTCCTCATTTCTCTCGACATGAGCACAGTCGAGCTGTCAGGCAGTAAACGGGGGAAAAAAAGTAATTGCCGTTACTTATTCAAAAAAGCAACTCAGATGTATTCTTGGAAATTAAAAAGTAATGCATTACTTTACTAGTTTCTTGAAAAGTAATCTGATTATGCATCTCGCGTTAGCCACAACACTGGCCACAATCATGCGGAGAGCAGAAGCACAGGCGAGACGTACTCGTATAAACTCTCTTTAGTGGGGTCGGGGTTATTGTCCAGGACTCTCTGGTAGTGGCTCCGGTGTGCTGATCCGGCATACTGCTCCTCAAACTCCTCCAGCTGCCCTCGCAGGTGTTCGGGAACGCTGAACGGATCCATGCTGCTCAGGAACATCCTGGAACATCACATGCACAACGTCACCGAAACTGACTCGCTTCACGTATGTGACACGCAACGGCTCTGAACTCACAAAGCGTCTTCCTCGGAGAACAGCTCATCTTCCTCATCCTCATCCCTCGGATGTCCACCTCTCATTCCAGACAGCACAATAACAGACTGAAACACACAGACACACAGATGAGCATCAAGCACGCCGGGGTCCTGCGCCGCGGCACTGACCACGCTCACCTTTAACTCCTTCTGCTTCTTCTTGCGATGCCTGTTTTTACTCTTAAATACTGAGCTCTGAAACACACACACACACACACACACACAGAGAGAGTCATTTACTCAGATGAAACGCTTCAGAAACAAACACTTCAGCACGCGTCTCTTACCATGTGCTCGTCATCATCAGTCTTTTTAATGACTAAACAAACAGCATCTAAAGAAAAACAAACAGTTATTTACAAAAAACTCCCTTCACATATAAAACATTTGTTCTGACTTACGTACCATCTTCAAAATATTGATCGAGAATGGAGTGACAGGAGTGATAGCGCTCTCGATTCGACTCTAGAGTCCAAATAAACAGACGCTTTTCTTTAGCCGGAGCCTGTCTTAAGTACTCCATTACAGTTAAACCGTCACGGTCAAATAATTCCGGAACGGTGCCGAACTTCTCGATGAGTGTCTCCTGCAGCGGTGTGAACGTGAGCAGAGGCTTCAGGTCCAAATCCTCCAGATGAGAGCTGTAACGACTGACGAATGACTCCGTGGCTTTCAGACCTGACGGAGGAGACACACATCAGACTGATTAATGATGGACACTTGTACACAATATTCAGATTTCTGAAAACAGCGACGTTTAGTCAGAAGATGTGGAAGTGAACAGCTGTGTGAATGAAACGCACCAGCGTTATCGAGCTGCTGAGCCCATTGCTGCAGTTTGGGTTTGATATGAAGCGTCAGGCCGAGCGTTTCGATGAAGACTCGAGCCCAGACCCGGTTTCTGGACTCCAGCAGAAGATCCACCAGCTCCCACAGAGGTCCAGGGTCTCTACGGCTGTTTAACACGCTCTCATGTCCTTTACTCTCAAATAAATCCAGCCACGGCCGCAGATGCTCCAAAAAGCAAGAAATATTCACTGACTCTTCTTTAAAAAGTCCTTTGTTATCATGAATTTGATGTAAAACACGGTCCATATCAATACAGTCTCTGGGTGGCTCTGCAGGAATGATAAGAACAGAGATACAGTGTTATTAACAGCGGTTCTCATCCGGGGGTCCGGGGCTTTTCCAGACTAGTAAAGTCAATGGCTACTGTCAACTGTTTGGTTACACAAATTCTTCTTTTGTTTTCAACAGAAGAAACAAACTCATACAGGTTTGGAACAACTTGAGGGCGAGAAAATGATCACAGAACATGCATTTTTGGGTGAACTATTCCTTTAAAATGAGCCAAAAATCAATAAAAAAAAAATCTAGATATTTCCTATTTGTATTGATCAGCAACTGTTTTTGTCCTATTTTGAAAGTGTGATTTCTAAACCTTGAAACAATGGTGTAGGTTTGATTTTGGCATTGATGGGGACATAACAGCAGATAACAGACATTTAATTGTTTGATCAAAGTTATTTATTAGTGTCTGATATAGGATCATGTCACAGCGTCTCTACTAAATTCTACACCCTTCAACATCATGACAAGCGATGTCCGACTTAAACTATAGTTCTCTCCTTAAATATGAAGAGGTCAAACAACAGATTCATGAGTTACTGCAAATTTCACAAAGCTTATGGATGTAATTATAATATAAGACACTGAAGTGAGTTGGCTGCTTTTGTCTCTTCTGAGGAAGATTCATTCACTTGTTTGCAAGAAGCAGAAACAGATGAGCACAAAAAAACAGAACAACAAAGTTAAAGAGGGCAAACTTTATCATTCAGCCGAACTGTACTCGTATGTTTCAAACACTTCAGCTCTTATATGTTTTTACTCCACACATCTATTAAATGTTTTCTAGCATATTTTTTTACTTCTCAGGTAAATGTCAATGGTACGACCCATCTCAGATGTGGCCAAAATTACAACAACAGTGGTTACATACACATATATTTAATAAAGCTTTATAATTGTTTGTGCGAAATTATTGCGATGGACAATTTAATAGTGGCTGGATATCGAGAGGGACATGTCATAGTGTCTCTACTAAATTCTGCACCCTGGCATTGAAAAGTCCTGTAAATGAATTCAAATCTTTTAACTTCATACGCATTATTATAATGATATGTATTTGGATACCTCTCTCTGCCGTCGGGTCTTTAGGGGCGTCCGCAGCCAATACTTCCTTTCTCTCTTGACAGGCAGAACGTGTCGCCAACTTGTGTTGTTTCCGCCGAAGCTTTCGTTCATTTTTAGACTTCAACTTCTTAATACTGTTGAGGTACAAAGAGACAAATCAGCCGCCATCAACAGATGCAGCTAAAGTATGAAATATGATGCGTAAGATGCATTAAACGCCACCTTGTACATTGCCGCTTGATTCTCAATCGTCCAACAGGTCTGATTTTAGGAATAGATGTTTTAAACTGAGAGAAGAGAAGAATCTTAGTAAGTAAATGAAACATCACTGCGTGCTCTTTGAGTGAGTGTGTGAGAGAGAGTGAGTGAGTGAGTGAGTGAGTGAGTGAGTGAGTGAGTGTGTGTGTGAGAGAGTGAGTGAATGAGTGAGTGAGTGTGTATACATCTCACCTCACACTTTATCAGCCCCGTCGAGCCATATATTACAATGTGACAGACCTGACCTCCACAGTCTGGCGTAAAACATGAATCTTTTAGAAAATCCTGCAGTAAACAGATAAGAACAGTGAGCGTCTGTTCTGAAACCTCAGGTTTCTCTCATAAGCGTCGTCACGTGTGTCCCTCTGACCTTGTCGTTCTTATCGGAGAATGAAAGTGTTTTGAGCTTCTTCCAGCAGCTCATATGAAACTCGACTCTGCAGCTCTGACAGCAGGTCAGCTGGATGAAGCCCTGCAAAACAGCACACGCTTGTTACAGATCGCCAGACCCATCAGGCAGCAGATTCAGCTCCGCACACTCACCTTAAAGTCTGGATCGCTGAAGTAGATCTCCACCGTATGAGAGAGGCAGTGCTGATACCGGCAGACCGCGTCCGCTTTAGGAGGAAACTTACACACCTCTATGAAGTCCTCCAGATGTTCCTTCAGGACAGAAACAGTTCATATCAGCACCATAAACACGCACGATGTTATGAGAAGTTTTGTTGCTTTCAGTCCACGTCTGTTTGCTTTAACAGTTTCATATTCAATCATTTAATCCTGTAGACATTTTTTGTACACCTGCGGCTGTGGTGAGTGGCTTTACTGAGCTAAACACCACTGAATATAAAAAAAAAGGAACAAGCTCCAACTTCTTGTTTCGAATGGAAATACATCAGCATGTCAAGCAAGGTCACAAGGACTATTCTGGGTTCAGCATCTGCAGACAATCATTGTGATTCCAGAGATGCAAACAGGTAAGGGGGAAAAAGGTGAGAACATTGCGCGGATCGGGGGCATGCTCTAGGGCTGCACGATAAATCGAAATGAAATCGCGATTAGGCAGAAGCTGTGATTGCCATCGTATCTTTCAGTGAAGTAGGGTTCTGTGATCAGCAGTAAATCTCCATCTGAAGGCCAGAGAAACTCCAAATACACCCCGCAGAAGAAACCCAGGACATCCCTACAGCACTAGCTGAATAAACAGAAGATTGAACTGCTTTCATTGATTAAGTGAGTTTGGAGGAAAAACGTTATTAAATGTGGTATTTTCACCTGCTTTCAGATGGAGCAGCATTAAATTAAATCGTCTGTGATAATGAACACGATATTGTGTAGCTTGTCAGTGAAGTACGGCTCTGTGCAGTAAATGCTGCTGATCACAGAAACGGCTTTACTGACGAGATTCGACTGACTATAGCATGCGATTAATCATGCAGCCCTAACATGCTCCACACAGAATTTCTTTTAAAGATATTTGCTTTACATGCTCATTTGTAGTTACTTTTTTAAAAATATTTTTATTACATTATATGTCCAAAACTCTAATTTTTCACTTATTGAAACAACCAGTTCTTTATTTACCCTTGTAAGATCACAAGTACCTTTGTAAAACATCCCCCCCCATAAAAACACTATCTCATTGGATCTAAGCAAATCTCATAGGTGACCTATTTTGATCTCAAAAAGGTGAGTTGTCACTGAAAGGTGAGGAATTTGCATCTATGTGATTCGTTCCTCTTCGTAAAAGTGCTGCATGCTCTTTACTCTGTTTATTCATATTTAGGTTTGGTACATATAAACACAGTAAAGAGCACACAAATTTTCAGGGGGTTTAGAAGCAGAAATGTGCATTAATTTTTCTGTAAAATGTGTCTAAATCAGTTTTGTTTGAACTGTGTTAAAGCCAGAATATTCTGGGATCAGCTGTCACGATCTCTCACGCGCACACACACACACACACACACACACACACACGTTATGCACCTTTAAACAGGCCGACTGTGTTTCCTCTACTGTAGTTTTAGTGGTCGGCCAGGTGAGTTTTCCAGGTGTGATGTGTCTCTGGATCATCAGCTGTGCGTTAGTGAAGCACTCCAGAGCTTTAGTAAATCTACAACACATCGAACCCAGACAGGACATGAAGTCAAAGACATTCAGCATGCAGTGCAGCAGCATTCAAAATCAACACACTCACCTGTTCTCCTTCAGGTAAACTCTGCCCATCCCATAATGCACCAGCAACTGAAACTTCCTCTCTGACGACTCTAATTTGGTGAACAACCGCTCAGCTTCAGCCAGTTCCTTCAAACACAAGAAACAACACAATCGATAAACAACAACTGAAAATACAGTACAATTTTATCCGACATTTAGGTTTGTAGACTAGCCAGCGTGAAGCCATTATTTTAGTCGTCTGTGATTTGATGCTGTACGTCTCTGAGCTTGTATCTGCACTGACACCGAGGGATCTTTTAGGCCGCATGGCCTTCAAACACGGTCTTTAGATAAAAGCAATGAGGCAGACACACTGAATAATCACTCTGTGATGTATTTCTACATAGGCTAGTTGGCAGTCTGAGAAAAAGAGAGAAAGAGATCAATTAAAAAGAGAAACAGAGATCAATTAATGAGGTGACTGTGGCAGAAGAATCAGGGAGTTTTGGGGAGTTTCCAGGAAGAGAAAGAGAAAAGAACACCTGCAAATGAGATAACTGGTAACAACGATCTCTTTGAGATCAACCGTATGAACGTCCATCTTCACATACAGACCGGTTTTTGGATTCTACAGCTTCTTTTTAGCACATTTGGCAGATGCTTTAATTGACACTGATTGAAGTCCGAATGCGAGACGAAAGCACAAGAGGAATGGCATCTGAAAAGGTTTTCATTTGCATAAAGTGAGCAGTAAAGTCACAAGACTTCAGTCACACTCGTCTCCTGCACATGACACTAGCCGAAGTTTCTTTACCTCACATTCCAGGTAAACATCAAGCTGAATTGTGGTGCATTACCTCAGGCTGTCCGATTTCCAGCAGGGCCGTCGCATATCCATACATCAGCACAGATTTATCCAGCTCCGTCAAACCCAGCTCCTGTCAGACACAGAAATACACTAATCAACGAGGGTCCAAATCATTTATATTACAGTCAAATATTTAAAACACTCTCAAACACAACTGAGCCTGACACAACATTCAACCAGCAACACCAAAGAAACCAACCGTTTAGTGTCAAGAGTGACTCAATCAATGTGATGTAGAGTCAAACGAGAGCGAGATTTCTCCAGCAAGATCCTACAAATCATCATACACACTTTACTAAATTTAAGAGACTAATGAAGATGGAGAACGGGAGCTTCCTGGCGTTTTCATCGCTGTCAAAAAGTGCGCTTTCAATATATCAGCCAAACAATACAGGCAAACTAGGCTAGAGTTTAATTAAGCTGGTTATCAGAGATGGAAACTCAAGTGTGACTACTCAAGTCACACTTTATGATATTCCATACACATTGTCCCCACATGACAGCATCATACACCACATTTTTCTATTCATTCCTGATCCATTCATTCCCTATCAGTATGTTCTGCAGTGGCAACTGTCACAACAATTGATCTCTAAACACACCAAGCCAGCATTATTATACACGCATGATCGCATTGTAAATAAACAAAGTCTAAAGGAATCTTTACTAGGGATGGGTACCAAGAACTGGTATTTTTTTGTACAGGTACGTAATTGGGTCAAATACCGGAGTACCGATAAGCTTCAGGACAAACGATACTCTTATTGATACTTGCGTTGTTTTATCTCCGTATGCTTCAATGTTAACGACGAATTAGAAGCTGCTGCTTGTCATTTTCTTTCACTGAATGATGTGGCCGATGCTTGCTCGATGTGCGTGTGATATCATGCGCATGTGCGGTGTGTGTTTGCGTGCAATCAGTCATGGCGGCAAGAGTGAAACGTTCGGAAGTGTGGGCTCACGTTACAAAACTAGGTGACAGCAGTGTCAGATGCAATATATGCAGTAGTGTAATAGTGAACGAAGGAGGCAACACTAGTAAGACAATGAAACATTTACTAACAAAACACAACATCTACCTCAAGCAATGTGCTGTAGTTACATTTATTCATTTAGCAGACGCTTTTATCCAAAGCGACTTACAACTGAGGAATACATCAAGCGATTCTTCTTAAAGAGGCAAACAGACACAGGAAGTGCTCGTCATACCAAGTTTCAAGCATTGTTCAAATAAGCACAAGCTAGACAGAGAAAGATGAAAGAAAAGAAAAAGATAATTTTTTTACTGCTGTATTTACTGTCTCCCGGCTGCAGCTCCAACTGCAACTCGCGAGACACAGTCACGTCAAATGTTAATTCAGCGGTAGAGTTACACTCACGAGACACTGCACTTATTTGCGTGTGCTTTAAAGCCTTGCCGGTTAAACGTTTCATTTGCGTGCTGTTCCGACATACACTTATTCAGAGAGCGTACACCGAAGCGTGCGTACACTAAAAGACCGGTTAAACAGCACCTGATTACTTGGCTATCTTAGTTATCGTCTGATTGCGCTAATACTGTCAAAAACACACAAGGTTTACATATAAACACAGTTGTCTAAAGTGAAAGTAAACAGTTGAGAGAAAAACAGATGCATGCTGGTCTTAGACAACTTGAGAATGAGTAAATGATGACACAATTTTCATTTTTGGGTGAACTATTCCTTTTAATGTTAATAAAATAAAACACAAAGAGAGAAATAACTCACTGCTCTTGACTGAAGAACTTTAATACAGTTGCTAAAGTTCAGCAGTAATAAAATAACTTGAAATTTTCAACAACTTTTCACATCATATCTTTTTGCACCAGAAAGTATCGATAACAGTATCGATAAGCGGTATCGGTATCAATAGCGATAAAATGTAAACGATACCCATCCCTAAACTTTACACACCACAGAAACCAATATCTGAAGCATAGAAATGTGACGGTGCTCCCCGAGCCGGCTGAAAATCGATACAAATATGTGAGAAACATGTTGAGATGTTAAATAAATCGCAATACAATTGGGGGAGTGAGTTTATATGAATGTATCTCTGAAGGGGACTGACTGTCTTTAGAAATCTGAATATGGAATTTTCTCTGTATAATGCATATTAGTGTTCATAACCTCAGCAGTAACCAAGGAAACGCTGTATCGCTGCTGTTTCATAAGCGCCACCTGCTGGCAGAGAGTGAATCTGCATTCTAATTCAGCCGGTTTGCTGCTTGTTTCATGCAGATGTTTTATGTAGGATAGTTTCACAAAACTAAAGTCAGACCATTCTGTTTTTGCTTCAAATTTCGAAATTATACAATCCAATTTAGATTAAAAACTGCTCATGCTGCATGTATGCAGCCTCTTTGTTTGGATTGTGTTTAAAATACTGTGGTTGCCTCTAATTTTAAATGGAAAGAGCACAAACAAAGCCTTTTTTTTCTCCATTCTGTCACCGATGTAGTTTTGGTTCCTCTGGCTTGCTTAGTTGGGGACACTTAATATCCAGGTATCGTCAACTTGATTGCACAGATACTATTTAAACTGAACTGAGCTGGATGATGACTAAATTCAATGATGAACTGCCTTTAACTGAAAATTGAGTGTTTACTATTGTCCTTTTGCATTATTGACACTATTTTCCTATTTAATACCGTAAACTTGCTTCGACACGATCTGTATTGTTAAAAAGTGCTATAGAAATAAAGGTGACTTGACTTTGTTTATATGAGATTTCTTTCATGTGTTATTCATTTGATTTGGGGTTTGTTTTAAATTTCAATTTAGTCATGTTATTTGACATATGTCAATTTCACAAAGAAACGTGCAGCATTTTTTCTGAGAAATAATAAAAGGGACACCTTTCCATTTCTAATTTGTCTTAAATCTCATTTCGCAAAAAAAAATAAATTATGAGAAAATCGTATTGTGAAATCAGTATTTCAAAACCGATTTAGCCTCAATAACTAGCTGAAAGAACTATTGCTAAAAATAGAACAAAGACTTGAAATGTGTCTTGGACTCAACCTCAAATACTTGACCGCAGAGACTTGTGAACATGTCTGCTGGTTATTAAAAATGCCAAATCGGTCAACCACTACTGTAGACTGTGTCTCAGCCTCCAGCAATACACTCAGGTTTGGTGTGGAAATGACATGGGTGAAATGGAAACGAAAACACACACCCGTATGTACACGCAGACACACACATGTTGGTTTTTACGGTTTATGGTGACTCTCCATAAGCGTAATGTTTTTTATATTGTACAGACCGTATATATTCTATTGCCCTACACCAACCCTACACCTCACAGAAAACGTTCTGCATTTTTAGATTTTCAAAACAACTCATTCTGAATGATTTATGAAGTAACACTGAAAATGTCCTCATAAATCACCTTCTCATTGTAATACCTATGTCATTCCCATGTCATTATACAAATTTGTGTCCTCATAAACCACATAAAAACACACACACACACACACACACACACACACACACACACACACACACTCACACAAACACCAGGACTGACGTTCACCGCTGACTCACTGAAGTACCAACAAACTGTCATCTGGGTT